TCCTCAACTTATAACTATAATCGAGGCTGGAATCGTAAGTCGTAACAGTCACAAATTGAGGTACCCACCTGAGCGACCTGATTTTATCACCTTTTTTGCAGCAGTTGTGAAGCATATGCCGCAGTCGTTTAAAAACGTCTATGGGTTCTATGGGTGGTTTTTTTTGCCAGAAACTTTGAAAAGTCCTGTTCCAAGAAATAACAGATAGCAACTAATCAAGAACATAAGCAGTCTGGAATTAAGGAGAAACTTCCTAACATTGAGAACAATTAATCAGAGTTAATTCAACTAATTCAGATGTTGAGGGGCTTCATCACTGGAGGCTTTCAAATGGTATAAAATGTACAGGGTCTCCTGTTTGAGTAGGGGGTTGGACTAGAAGATCTCCAAAGTCTTCCGATTGGGGTGTGCTGCCATTCCAAGTCTAGAACTGGTTCATATTTATCTTTTGAATCGTAAATTCAAAGAATTGCTAAGCAAGTACTATCCACAGTCTTTAGAAAATTCCAATATTTTATTGTGAAATTAAAGGACAAGCACCGTAGTAAATTTGTACAAAGTTGCATCAAATGGGGATTTGTGGAAAGGAGGAAGGATTTTCCTGTATTTATTAAGGGAGGAGGGTCAGCAGAGGTAGTTATTGAGTGTTTGAGAATTTCATCACTATCATAATATTTTTGTAACATTAAACCTGATTCTACTATATTTATTCTGCACTGCAGGACAAACCTATCATCTATGAGATGTCACATTAAATGCTTCAAGAGATATCAAATCTTTCTTATTTGCTTTTTTTACAAGGCTAAACATTCCCATCGGCATCAGTCTGTTTTCATGGGATTTGAACCCTGCCCAACCATATAATCCTCAACAGCCTCTCATACAACAGCCCCAGATTACATCAAGAAAAATATTCAAGATTGGCCTAACAATGTGGTGTGTGGCTCATAATTTGTTGATGAAGACTTATGAAATTAAAAACACGAACTCTTTCCATGTTCCACTCTTTTATAGTTTCTCTCCCAAGTGGAACTTTTCTAGTATTTAAAAAGACATGTCCTCTTAAATAGTGGCTTTGCTTCATGTCTTGATATATTATCTCTCCCGCATGGATCAGCTCTTCAGTCTGCAAGTTTAGCTTTCCTGAAGATGAATCAAATTCAGATATGTATGTATTTTTTGGGGGGGAGAGGGGGCGGAATACTGGTTCCAAAAGTTCATTTACGCTCATAGGGAAACAAAGGCAGTGCTGAGTTTTAACCCATTCCCACATTTTTATGGTTCTTCCATCTGGGTTTATTTAGGTGCAATGAGACGGCATTTCCCACTGAATGTCACTCCAGTCATCACCACTTCAGTATTTCACATATGGATCTCCTTTTTCAGTGTTGTCGTATCTTTGAAAGGTCACTAAATAAGTTGAGGACTACCTGTGCTTCTATGATAAGCCACATTTGAGTGAAAGTGGGCGTTCTTTTCGCAGTCCTAGCGCTGGTACAATTTCTTCCCAGTGTGCATCCGTTTATGCTTCTTAAGGTGACAGTTTCGCCTGAAGTTCTTCCCACACTCCAGGCATTTGAAGGGTTTTTCTCCGGTGTGGATCCTTCGATGGTAAATGTAGGTAGTTCTCTGACGGAAGCCCTTCCCGCATTCTGTACATTTATATGGGCTCTCCCCCGTGTGGATTCTCACGTGGATCACAAGGCTTGATCTTCTACTAAACTTCCTTCCGCATTTCAAGCACGCGAATGGTTTCTCCCCGGTGTGGGTTCTTTTATGACTTGTTAGGTGGCCGCTCTGACTGAATCTCCTTCCGCACACCAGGCATATGTACGGTTTCTGCCCTGTGTGTTTTCTTTTGTGAGCTGTAAGGCGACTTCTCCTACTGAATCGCTTTCCGCACTCCGGACATTTATACGGTCTCTCCCCTGTATGAATCCTCTTGTGGTACATGAGATCCGAGGATCCACTGAAACTCTTTCCACATACCAAGCATTGGTACGGTTTCTCCCCGGTGTGAGTCCTTTTATGTTGCATAAGGCTACTATTCCGTCCAAAGCTCTTCCCGCACTCCAGGCATGTGTACGGTTTTTCTCCTGTATGGATCCTTTTATGATAAATAAAGGTAGTTTTCCGACTGAAGCTCTTATCACAGTCTGTA